ATTACATGCAAAGTTTTAGGGATATCTTCAGGAACATTTGGGATATATCCACTGTGTCTTTGCTGGCTCTGAGGATAGAAGTAGGTAGAGACTTATGTGCTTGTTTGTGCAACCAACAACCGAGCAGAATCTGTGATTTCCTCTGAGCTGTGCCATTTTGCTGTTTGTCTGCTGTTCTAGCGGAAAATCACAATGGCAGACCAGTAGCATCAAAAACGGGTCCGAGTGCAAGGAGGATATATGAAATGGACTACTGCATCTTTTCGTACGACACCATAAAGAGAGACGAATCCAAACAGTGTGTTTGAGCAGGGATTTTTACAAATGCAAAACAGGCAGGAACTGCTCTTCTCTCATGTTCTCTGTCTCTACACACAATGCTCTAAAAATGATTTCTGCATAATATGTCCCCTTTAAAAAAAATTCATGGGTATGAATGATCATCTCAATCAGTACCAAAATCTAATGGATTGTTCTGTGGGCCATAACCTACCTTTTGGAAAATTTTCATCCAAATTCATTAATTACTTTTTGAATTATGCTGCAAACAAAACAAACAACAGTTTAAAAAAATTACCTCAGACTGGGCAAAGGTAATTATAATAACCATTTGTTTTGTACAATGAAAAGAGAAGCAATGGTCTACTAAATCTGTGTCACATTTGCCCCTGCTCTTTAAAAAAAAACAAAAAAACAACAACTTTAAAAAGTACTATCTGATTGCTGGATTAATGATTACAATGACAAGAGTACTTGTTCTTAAAATGACAGAGTGATACAGTACAACTAAACAGTGATAACTGATGATGTGTGCTTTTGAAAGACTGACTTTATGAATTTTAATGGAAATGTTTTGTGATTTATGACAATGCCACATGCTTTTTCCTCCCACAAGAATTCACTGTGAGGATTCATCTTTCACAGACCATAAAATGAGCTGGAACTCTCCCCCATTCCAGTTTCATAACTGTATTGTGTTTCATAATACAAGCAGAAATTGAACTAGTAATGAAACAGTCTCCCTGAGGCACCGTAGTAGTGAGCAAGGGATTATCTTTGCCCCCATTACCCTTTTGAGAAAAGGGGAGAGATCTCCTCACTCTTATTTAACTCTTCACAAGCCAACCCATACGCTGACACTGTACTATGAGCGAGTCAAGTCAGCAATGTCCCACAATGATGGATCATTAGCATACTTTATGTTCTGCAGACTGCCTTGTCAGACACATCAGCCATCTCCAGGCCCTATAATGGAGCATAATACCTAAAAACTCAGCTTTTAAGTACACTATGTCCTTACAGCAAGTTAACCAGTCTCCCAGGTAAACATACTTGGAGCCAAATGTCTGTGCAGTGTGTCTTTGGTCAGATGTTTGCTTATTTGAATCACCATTTCATTCATATATTACTGCATCTTATTTAGGAGACGTTTGTGTTTGCAATTCGAGGTAAAATAGCATTAAACCCTGATGTGTTAGAGAAGTGTGGCATACTTCTTCAAACCAACTTCTGTTGTAAACAGTCACCCCAAAGAACACTCTACAGATTAAAAAAAAATGTTATGCTGACACACACACACACACACACAAGAAGGAACAGAAGGGTAATAATGAAATAAATATGTTGGCAAAATATGCTAACATTCAGCAGAGGGAGGTATGAAATCATCTAAGTGATACTGTTGCTTAGCCCCAAAGTAACTACTGATGATGTTTCTGATGTGTCATACAACACTTCCCCACAACAACAATAGTAAAATCCTGTAACCTCATTTCTTGTCAACAGTCACCACTATAGGATCAGTGAAGCACCAAACATCCATCCTTCCTTCTAGCCTTTATTGGGCAAGTACAATCAAATAAAATAAATGTTTTAAAAATAACTAGCTTCAACAAAACAAAGCCTATTGAGCACAAAGCTTGTGCTGAAGTTGGCTTGTCGGTGGTGTGCCAAAGTCGGTTTCCTGAAAGTTAAGCGCTTTCATTATTTTACCCCTGACATGTCAAATTTCCATAAGATCAGAATTCCTGTGAAGCAGCCAACCATATGCAATTGAGTTTTTAACTTGTGATATTAATCCTTATCTACTGACCCCAAAAAACCTAAATGTCCATATTACAATCCAAGGGAGTACAGAAATCAGTCACTAAGGTTTCAAGGATTTCTGACAGTTTCACAGTAAAAAGCCTTATAATAGTTGGGCAGTTAAAAGCTAAATCTGTGAAGCAGCAACAAGAAGCATTATGGTAACAAGATTTCTCACAGTGTTATATTTTACAGTGTTTTCTACTGGAGATGGGCCACATCAGCAGAAAGCACAACCACCTCTGCTTTGGGTTGGGTATCGCTTCAGTTATATTGATTCCTATTTGCAGTTCCGAGTCTGCTTATAGAACCGAGTTCTTATTGATTCTCAGTTCCGATTCTAACATTTTAAGGGGAGAAAAAAAACAAGCATTTCAAGAATGTTTAACTCATTATATTAAGATACACTGACCACAAAGTGCGCGTAACCACAGTTTACTGTAGACTATAATGTTAGTTCTTCTGTCAGCTATTTCTGATATGCCAACAGGAAAATATCAAAGTAGATATTACTGTGAATAACCTGACATCAGTAACACATTTTGCCAACCTAAATGGAGGAGTCACATTTGAAGCTTCTTTTTAACATGCTTCGTTGATGTGCTGCGTAACAAATGACATGGTGTTAGGTCTGTGTCACAGGTCCTGTCAGGTAAGTACAACTTTTATGTACTCTAACACTCATTGCAGTTCACTTGGACCATGACTGAAATATGCAACAGTTAGAAACAAATCCACGATTCTTGTAAATTTGGAACCGGGTCCAAATTGGAACCAGTTCTCAATACCCAGGCCTACCTCTGCTGACATCATAAAATTTGGTACTCTTTCATGAAAATTATAAAAAAAAATGTGTGCTGTTGCTCTTTCAAAACAGCTAATTCTATATGTATTAATATATATTATATATAACTATATTAGTATACTTTGTAATAATAAGAGCAGTTATTGATTAAAGGTCATCAACTACTAAGTGGTTCATAAGATGATATGCATGAAGTTAATGGTTTACAACATCTGCTAAACAATTTCCTGGGGGAAAACCTGGGTTTACCTAGGTTAAATAAACAAAATGAAATCCTTATCAAAGTCGCAACAATGCATCACTTACCACAACAGTAACTGGCTATTGGTTTAGTTTGGTCTAACTATGGTGCCGTCACCCAGCACATCTCAATTTATCACCACTACTTTTGACAACACACAGTTCTGACAGAGATAATCTTAATGTTTGGACACATGAAACTGAAAATATCTGTATATAATAAAACATCATGCAGCAGGTGCCTATTTAAACAACGTTGTTCACAAGTTTGCCTTTACATGAAGAAGACAACCTGCAATCAAAAGGCTGTGTCATGTCCCTTTAGAAACTAAAGAATAATGGGAACAAAACAGTAGTGTGAGGGAATCCTTTGCTTTTAAAAAATATAAACATCCTTTTTCAATATGTACGTCACTGTCCACTGTCTGTGAAAGTAAATAAAAATAAAATTGTTCTGTTTCTTAACAGTACATTCAGATTTTGGAGTACAGTGTTTCCACACTCACTGAAACTGGGTGTTGGTGCAACACTAAATGTAGTTTACTATAAAATATAAGTGAGTATTTCAGACATTTGCCTGAGTCATGTCCAGAGCCAATTATGGCGCAAAGAAATGTTCATTCACACTACTAAATGCAAACAATAAAATAGAATGCTTCTGATAACTTATTACGGAAGTGTTTGTAGAGATCGGACAGCTAACAAACACAGATCCACTTCTTGTCAATAATCATCTAAATGTGAGGTAATGTTCCGTCACTTGGCATTACACAAGAGGCTCTGGTTGTCCTAATAGGATGTCAGCAACTTATCTTTAAAGATGTGCCTTCTCTTAAGAATTTAACACTGCACTCAACTGGCAAATAAGACAACCTTAAACCAATAACATGTTTTGACGATTATTTCGATTATTAATACTAAAGTCTCAAAGCAGCCTTCCTACAAGTGAGATACAAATTAGAAGGACAACGCAAATATCCTTTCACAACTGCAACTTATCATTGATAAGTTAACGTTAATAACTCACCCGATGTCCCCCTTTACTTATGTCAAGTGACTTAACATCAAGATAGTCAGAATACTATAGTCTGCAATCTAAACAATCTATTCCGAAATCAGCCAATAAAGCCTATAAGCAATCTAACAACAAAGTAATGCGTTGCCGGCTAATATTAGATTAGCTATTGACAGGGCGTACTAAGTCAACTTCGGTTAAACCAGTGTTTACAAACCAGTCGCTTTGTGCATAGCCAAATTAGCACTCTAACTAAAGTTAGCCATCCATCCATTTTCCTCCGCTTAAAGTTAGCCAGATACTACAATATGTGATGTCTCAGTATATTGTAGTATAAAGTTAGCCAGATAGTACAATATACTGAGACATCACAGACCGCTGACCTTGATTATTAACAGTGGTCATTGCTGGTGTTGTGTGGGGAATAACGTGTTTATACGGAGAATAATAATGTAGGATTATTTCGGCTCAATTAATTATGGCGTTAGCTAACCGACATAGCACTTCTGACAGCTAGCTTTCGTAGCTAGCACAATTAGCTAGCTTAGCCTAGCCATGTAGCACGTGCTCCTGATTTGTAAAATAACTGACTAGCGGGAGGTAGGCTGCCAACTAGGAGTGGTGTGCCGAGGTGGGCAACCAGCTAGCTCAACTCTTCTCTAACGTCAACAGTAGCGTTATATGTACAAATCGTTCAACGAACCGTGTAGCTATAACGTAACGTATAGCTTCCAAAAGGTCAATACTGCTATGTAGCCATGTTTCTCCTCCAAAGAATAGCCGGACCCCGTCGTCCAACAACAGAACAGACAGAGCCCCAACACCAACGGACAGCCAGCAAAGGAGCTAACTAACCTTAGCGGATAAGCAAGAGAAACCATTCGGCGGTGTTATCGTACAGCAGCTAATGCCTCAGTCCTTGTCAGTCGGTCCTGTTTCCCTTAGAAAGCTTCTCGCGTCGACTGATTGTCTCACCCCAGAATTAATCCACATGAAAGCGTAGTTTTCATTTGTTCCGCTGGCGGTTTTAGCTATGTGGTGCCTATTACTGCACAACACAGTAATCTGGTACTACTCTCTGAGACGCTGCTGCTAAGACCATAGCGGGACTGAACTACCCCTCTCTCTCCCAATAGGTCCGCATGCTCCCTCGTCCCTCCTCTTTACTCAAGGACAGCACATTTCCCATATCCACAAGTTGAGTCATATAGCACTGAAATTTAAAAATAAAAAATAAAAATTGTAAATATTACTAAATATTTCTGCAAATGTATGTAGGCCCGTGCTGTGTATATAAATGTATAGTACCCTGAACAGTTGTTCATCCACACACATTTCATATGTTACTTTGATTCTACAAAACAAAAAAAATTAACATAATACAATAGTTACATCTGTCTATCTATATGTGAATCTATCTAGGCTATATACCTTTATAAACTCAAACACACTTAGTGTAATCTGAGTGTTTAGCTTTGCCATTATCTGAATCACTACATCCCTGTAGCTCAAACATATTGTTGGTCATATGGTAATATTATCAGCAACTTCTATTGTAATCTACTTCTCACACCACAGCTTTGAGAACAAAACCCTCTGTATTCTCTCTTCCTCCCTCCTTCCTTGCTCCAGCCTGAACTCAAAGGGGTCATTTCAAGAGTTGACACTCCAGGAAGTCTACATCTGTGCTTCTTGATGCCCATGGAGAAGTACAAGCTGTGAATGCAGTGACTTAACATTGAAGGATAGTATTTAGGAGATCACAACATTGGATGCTGTGTACATAGTTGATCACTCTGCTGAAGCCAGTGCCCTGTAAATGGTCTGAAACCTCTCTGTCAGCTTCACACAGCTACACTGGCTTCTAAAATCACCACCCATACTGCAGCTATTTCACTCAGAGAAAAGCTTTTCAGTCAGCCAGTGGGGTTCACTGAAGTAAGAAACCTGCTGCTATATAATCTTGGTTTTGGCAGCCTAAGGTAATTACTTTCAGTTCATGTTATAATGTAAAATTTTGATTTTGTATTATGTCATGACACTTGAACAATGTGTTGGTAGCCTGATTTTGCCATATAACTATCTGGCACACTTTAACATTCTTAACCTAAATTTCAGTAGCAGCGTTTCCTATGATGTTGTTTTTCTTCCCTGTGTTTTTCTTTCTGCTCTGTGGTTTGGGAGACCCCTTCAAACTATCAGTATAACCATCCAGTACAACAATCACTTCATCCAGCCAACACAGAACAGGAAAGAGAACTGTTTATCTCAGTCAGGCTTTCTGGATCCAAGCGTATGTCGGAATAATCTATCCCCCATCTCTGCAATGCCCAATTTGTCAGCTCACTGATAAAACACAAATGTTTCTCACTTGTCAGTTGTGATGTCAACATCTGTGTTTCATCTGCAGCCAGATCCCCTGCAGAGTTAAATGGAGCTTCAGACAAAGCCCAAATGAACAGATGAAGTTTTTTGAAACCCTAAAATCTCACAACCAGTAAATACTTCACATCTAAAGAGGGAGGACTTTTCAAGATTGCAAAAACTGATTTGCATTCAGGTGGAAACACTTAAAATATCTTTCCTACAAGTTATTAAAAAGAACTAGAGTGGATTGTTTCTACAGAGACAGAGCCTGCATGAAAGGCACCACTGCATCAGTAAAGCAGACTTGAGATTTCAAAGTCTGTCTGTTGATAGATGCACTGCACGCAGTTGTTACGATTCTGAAATAAAAGATGAACAGCACAAATCCATCAGAGGGGAGCAACAGAGAGGAGGCTGGATGGAAAATCCTCATCAAAACAGCAGTCTTAAAAGACAAACTTCCATCCAGAGTCTAGCAGAATTAATGGAGTTCCCCATTGTGAATGATCAGCTTTGATTACAAATTCAAACACCCTCTCGCTGGTGCCATCTTCCAAAACTATGGCTGATTAGAAACACATTATTACACTCTGCCGTTCTTAGTTTTCTCTTTTCTTCAAGGCTAGTACTTAAGGTGTACAGTTAGCTTAAACTAATTAGATTCAGGCGCAAAATGAGAAAGATATTTATATTCCAATAAACCAATAAAATAACCAATGTAGCTGAAATCATTTATAATGTGATTTTTGGTGAAGGAGGTGGATACTATGTGGCAGTGTTGCTATTAATAACACTGGTATAATTACATGCCAGGTTCTTCCTTTGGCTATGACGCCAATTTTAGCTGAGACATAATTCATACTGCCATCGCTGGCATTTATTATTGTCACGACTGGGCCTGAGTCAAACAGCCTGGGAAAATTATTTTCCTACGTAGATGTCAAAGGCAGTGGGAGAGGCCTGATTTTTTTACATGCTTAATCATGGCACTATTTTCCTCACACTGTTCACAAATCAGTCTTGGTTAACTGTGCAAAGTCAGGGCTGAAATGTATTCACAGCCACAGGACCTTACCTAACTGCCTCCTGCTTGCCACAACAAAGACAGCACTAAGAGTAGAAATGGCAGCATCTCACTGAAGACTCTAGCGACTGCCTGCATTGTTGGAATTCCAACTTAACTTCCTGAGTCTGTCCACACCTGGCCAATCGCCAGCAAAAGCTTTTCTCTCATTTTTTCCTTTCCTTTCCTTTTATCAAGATCATATGTAGACTACATTTTACTGTTTCCAGCCTCACCCTCATGTAATACATGAAGGATCTAACAACATTTGTATTAATTTAAGTCTACTCAGGGCAAAAGGCCTTTAAAATTTGTTTGCCTTTTTCTTATTTAACCTTCAGTATAATTAAATATAGTTGTATAAATGCCGGTAGGAACAGTTAATAATGATGATAGTTTGTATCTGACAAATGCAACAAAATAACCACGGGACATATCACACACTGCAGTGTGTTTCAGTAACAAATCTAAAAACTTGATAAGAGGCATATTGTATCATGATGTCAGGTGTTTTTCATGTGGCAAATTGTGCTCCAGTTTCTTCAGAGTCACTGGCTTCTGTGGGTGTGACAAATATATTTACAGTTGTCCCATGTCCAAGTGAACCCCTGTAATGAAACTGGCAGTGGCACAGCATCACTGGAGCTTAGCTCAGTCGACCATCTGTTAGGTTGCATGGATTCATGTGGAGTAAACTAGAGTGGACCTTGTATGGACATGTTCCAGCATGACCATCATGACATCAATGTTCACCATGAAATGAGCAAACCACCCCCCACCCTTCCTGTTTCTTTCTAATGGTAAACGCATGTGAGGAGATTAGAGACTGTTCTTTGATTGTATGCCACAACATCAACAGACAGTGATAAAGTGAGTTTTTTGCAGATAAACTCAGGTTATGGTGTTATAGATCTTCTATAATATGTTATTCCAAGTTCTGTGACAAAGCTTGACAGCTGAGATGCACATAGTGATGAAAGGAATCTGCGACATGGATATGGAAGTGAGCTGGTAGTTTGCTCACCCTTTTTGAAGTATAAGTGGAGCAAGTCTGCCTATCAATAGTAGGCACCATCTCTGACAAAAACACTGACATTTGATTCTGTGGTGGACAATAGAAGTTCAATTAGTCCTCTCCAGCAAGGACACATAAGGACGAAACTGGTTTTGGCTGCAGTTTTCTCACTAAGTGGCTGAGCCATAAGCCCAGAGGTGAATAACTGCTGCTCAGCCAACTCAAATACAGCTCTGCAGGAAGTGCTGAGCTGGATGAACTCGCACTGATGCGTCTAATGCTAAAAGCCCTGCCGCTGCTGAATCCTTCATCACTTCTCTATCTATCCAGCCCTTTGTCTGTCACATGATAACAGGCTGTAGGCTCACAGGCTGCTCACCTTCTCACTTACTTATATACTAGACTTATTAAGGGAATAGTCTTCTCAGTAATATGTGTGGGAGGGGGAATAGTGGGATTTTCAAGAAAAAAACAGAGGAAAGAAGGAAGGGGGTTGCCATAGCACTATATAAGAGAGGAAGAAGAAGACCACTGGCATCTTCAGAGGGAGGATGAAAAGGGGAGGGGGCTCTTAAGAGTGCAGAATTCCCATAAATAAAGCTAATGAAATGGCAGTTGAGTCTGGAGAGAGGTGGAATGGCTGGTTGGGTCTTACCCACTGTCTGATTTATCCTCAGTACCCCTGTGAGCATAGTGGGGAGATCCATTACCTCACCTCATCAATAACATCCCATGGACAGGGAAAAAGGCCTGCTTTCCACACCAACACCCACCCCAGAGACCAGCTCAGAAGACTCAGTGGGGGAGGGGGAACTAGTGTAATGCAGTCACACACATAGAAAGCAAAAAATGTCTCAACTGGGGGATGGGTTACTTTAGAAGTGCTCAGCACATTGCAGCAAATAATGATCACTTGCATATGCATTTGTAAAAACTAATGTAACTGTCATTTCCCACGTGAATGCAATGTCTTTATTGTTATTATGTGGGTGCATGATAAAAAGATAAGCATACATTTGAGTCAGATGACATAGGGAGCTATCACCTAAGAAAATGTCAACACAGAGACTTGTAAAAGGTTAAGATGATGTAATTCATAAGCAATGATCTCAATAAACCAGAATAGCACAGTTATGTACATACTTAAAATTACTATCTACTTTAAACATAACAGTTATTTTAACTGATCCCAGAGGGCAGACTGAAAATATGAAGGCACAGGAAACAGAGGTAACAAAGAAGAGCAAAGTTAAAATGAAACATCTGATATGATAATAAGGCCTTGGAAGTATTCAACACCAGAAATGAGGTGAAATGTCAGCAGAGCTTATGGTTCAAGGGGAGTTGATAACACTGCTGAGATATGAACAGATTGCAATACCAAATACTGTGACTGAACTAATCTCTCTCACACATTCTCTCTCTCTGTGTGTATCTTAGAATGATCTTGCATGTCGCTTTGTGCAGTGAGATCACAAGGTAGTGGCAGTGTCTGTGTCATGGCTGAGTGAGGGTAGAGCTGAAAGGAGGAAGCTTGACACTCACACATCCCAGAAAGACACAGAAGAAAATCCTTGCCAATCACTCCTCACCTCTAAGTACCTGTGTCAACCCCGACTACTCTGGTGTCAGCTGAGCAGATGTTGGACTTTGATCATACAACTGAGGATTTTCACTACTTGTGTCTCGAATCAAGAATCCAAAAAAAAA